GGAGAGAACGGCGTGGTCAAATTGTTACATCCTCCTAGATTTTTGGAAAGTGAAATCAGTTCTTCTGCTAGTATAAGGGAGGAAAAAAGCAGTAGAGGAAAAACACAGTACTTCTGTGGTTAAAAGAGAATGCAAGGTATTTCTTTCTGATACTTAACTCTAAGGAAAATCTTAAAAACACCAAAATAAGAGACGACATGCTTGTACTTACTTATTAGCTGTTCCTGGAGTGTGAGCTAGTAACTCCCAAATGTATATTACCACTTTTTTAAATGGGGAGATTTGCAGAGGCAAGGCTTATGGGGTGAGGGGAATTGAAATGTCCTGAAGTGGGTGATTAGTAGCATACCTTGAACTACAGTAAGCAGCGGCCAAGACTCTGTGTGACGATTTGGTGAAGGGTGTAACACCAGGTTTTGATTCCTTTCATATTTTCTGTTTCCCATCTCAAGAACCTCTACATAGGAAAAGCACCTTCCATTTTGTCCTTTTAAGATTTTTGTGGGAGGGGGTTTCAGCCATATTTCAGTGCATCAAGCAACGCATTTATCTGTCTCTTTCTGGAAATGCTCTATGGCTCCATGACTTTCCTGTTAGAGGGATTTGACAAGTGACTACTTTTTTTTTTTTCCTAGGGGTCAGTTTGCCCCCAGAACAAAAGGTGATAATTGTTCCCACTCATTGTTATTGGCGTTGATCTCATGTCCTCCAAAATGTGAGATTTTGAGATGCAGGTATTTGGAACTTTTACTTTGTGATTTTCCAACTGGCATTTGCCCTTAGAAGTGCCCACCTGTAGATGGTTAGTGGGATGAAATGAAATACTGAGCAAGAAGTTTTATGGTTTTCCTCTGAGAGTGGTTAGGAAATTGAAGAGATGACTCTCCCATGTAATATCCATGCCTGTTGATGGAGATGACTGAAAAGGTGGTTCCAAATCCATAGGAGTTAGTGTTTCCCCTTTCTATAGTACAAGTCCCGAATTTGCCAACTTATTTTCAGCCTGTTAAAAATGGAAGAAGGGGCAAAGGCTCAAGGAATATGAAACTAACCTTTTGTGTACTTTGAGAGCTTGGATTATAGCATAATATTATAGGGGATCTTGAAACCATTATGTTTAGTTATTCTTGCATTGGCATCATAGGTGCTTGGCCATTTGGTTTGATCTGATTGCTAGCTTTGTATAAAACTCAGATTTGCAATCTGAACATCACTTTGAGTTATTGCTGCTACAGAGTTTGAATGAATAAATGGGGGAACTATAGTTTGTGTTTTTTTTCTTGCTGTTCATACCTGGTGTTTACATGCTCTGGATCCATCTGGCCTTTCAAAGTCGAGACTATTAAAGAATTAAAGAATTCATTAACCAGACAACAATAACGATCAACCCAGTTGGGCTGGAGCTGTTCCAGGTTCTCTCTCTCTTTAGAAGTGCAGATATCTTGTTTCTGCATTGCAAGGCTGTCTTCAGCTGGCTGTGACTCAGATAAAAGTCTTCCAGATGTCGTTGCAGGATAGTGTGATGAGACTGCCTTTCTGTCTTCCAGTGTTTAATCATGGAAAATGAAAGGAAGATAGTATCTTCTTTTGGCAACATATCATGTGCTCTGATTCCTAATTTTATTACATCTTTCTCTCTAGTCCGTGGAAGAAAATTGCTGTAAAATGACTGTAAAGCGCAAAGGTGTTTCTTTTCTGCTAGCAAAGTTGAAATGAGATGTGCAGATTTTGATGGCAAGGCTGAATAGATGTGACTAGCTGAAAACACAGATTAAATGACTTTCAATGGTGGGTCAGAATGAGAAGGGTTAATTCTCATATAATTTTTATTTCCATGTTATTTTTGCATGGACCCCATTCATCAATATTCAGAAGCTCTCAACTTTCTGTTCATAAGGTGGTTTTAGCAACAGTGAAAATAACCAAAACTGAATAGTATGAAACCTTTTCTCTTTGGGAAAGGAAAATGAGGAAAGTGTGACTTAAATAATTTGTGGTGCAGCACAATGTTTCTTAAATTTTGAGGGATCTGTTACCTTAGGTGCCTTAAATATGTAGAAAGAATACAATGTTAAATGGAATGCAGTAAAGTCACTGTCAGATGAACTGGCAGCCTTTGTGTGTATGCATGTGAATGCTGCATGTGTTGAAAATGGTACATATAAATAACTAAATAGAGGTGGTAATTATATGAAAAGCTATCCTATCTCTCTATCAACTACCTGGGTGTAGTTGTAGAGAGGTGGGGGATGGTTGCTTCTGCTATGCCTGCAGTGAGAGAACAGTCATAAACTGAGATAAGAGAGATTCAGATTAGATATTAGAAAAACTTTTTTAACTGTTAGGGTGGTCAGGCACTGGAATAAATAGATTGTCCAGGGTAGAATCACATCACCATCCCTGGAAGTGTTTAAGAGGCATCTGGATCTGATGCTGGGGCTATGGTTTAGGGGTTACAGCAGAGTGGCAAGGTTAATGGTTGGACTTGATGATCTTAGGGGTCTCCTCCAACCTTAATGATTCTATGATGACTCTGTGGAGAACAGACCAAATCTGGTCTATTACCAGATGTTTGGCTGCTCTGCAGAAACAACTCTTATAAACTGAAAACTGAATGAAACATAAGGATGACATGTACTTTGCTTTTAGCCTGGTACAAGGCTTTGCCCCAGCTCTTGCAAAAGCAACACTAAGAAATTGTCTTGGTTAATTTGCACAACAAAATGAAGATGTGATAGTGGCATGGTTGGTGTACCCATCCTAACTTTAATCCAGGTATCACAGGTAACACATGGTCAAAGAATTGATAGTATAGGCAAGCAACAGGATAACGTATGCAAGGCTGCCCTGCTGTCCTTTACTGTATGTTAGCTTCTGATGGGAGTCTCTTGTTTGCTGCTGTGGTTACCTGCCTTAGCTATTTAAATGCTATTACAGGTGTGTCTGCTGTGGGATCTTGCACTTACATTTTGCTATGCATGTGAACCTCTGAAATCCCAGCATCCTTAACATCTCAAATTGGGCTGGATGAAAGTAAAAAGCAAATGTTTGCTTATCTTGATGGCTTTTACTGGTATAAAGCTTCTGTGAGGGACACTGCACAGAAGGGGTATTGTCTTTTAAACAATCAGCCACATCAAGTTTCTGGGAGTCTCTGCACTTTCCTTCTTTATCCTGAGTCAGAGGGGCTCTGCATGCCACAGCGTTGAGCTGCACTGGATGCGCTAGTGTCACCCTAAGTGGGAGCAGACTGAGGAGAGATTAAGGTTCACTAAATTGTTATTGATGAGTTTGCATCCATCAGTCTTGGGAACTTGCTTAGAAAGGATGCAATCCGAGCAGCCTTGTCGGGGCTTCAGCCATTTCTGTGGCATCTCTGGCTGTGGAAGGATGTGAGTGAGGTGTTAGTATTTTGAGTGTAACTCTATGGTAATAGACCAGACAAGAGTTTGGGATTTCTACTGCAGCATCTGGAGTTTGTGAGACCAGTGCAATGTTGTTCTCTTACTTTGTAAATCTTGCACTAAAAATAAGAATTACTTTCTTCAGGTATAGTTCTGTGATATCATCTGTTATAAATGCTGGTTGCTTACATGAGCAAGAACTAAACCAATATTTTATCTGCTCCAAAGAACTAAAATTCAGCATACCTAAGTATTTAAAATATTGCATTATCCTCATGCGTGACTGCCTGCATCACTGAAATAAAGCAATTGCAGCAATGAAGCCAAAATGAACAGCACCATGTTGGATATAGTCCACCAGAATAAAAGCAGTTTGGGGCTGTATTATCTTGTTAAACACATTGTAAATGTTTTTGACAAGCAGCCTGGCTGAATCCAACCACCTCTGGACAGCCAGCATGTCAGAGCATTTCTGAGTGAGATATATCATCCTGTCCTGAACTGATAGCTTTGGATAATCCTCTAATCCAAGTGATTGCTTAAATGTTGAAGCCTGTTTAGTTTTGCTCTGTCTGGGATGACTTGCTGCTGGAGAGCTCAGGGTGAATTTTTTTATAAAACCTGAATAAATGAATTTAACTCAAGATGTCTACATTCCAGGTTGGACTTAAGGGTGTTGTATCCTAATGTCGTATTTGCTCTGTTAGAGACAGTTCCTGAGCTCTGTTTTACCTCTGACTTCTGCAGTTTTTGCTGAGGCTGTCAAAGGTGGTTTGAAGAAGGCAGAGTTATACTGACTTTGCTCTGAGAACACTGAAGCTTTTTCTTGTGCTTGTGTCTGATAAAAGTAGCCTCTAGTCATGTACTGTTTGCCCTCTATGTGTCTTGTGCTCCCACTGCCATCACTACCTCCTTAGAATGGAGCCAGTCTGATTCCCACATGCAGTAGTCAGAGAAAATTGAGAAGCATTTTTCTTTAAGTGTGTGATTGATGGTAGAGCAAAGTTGTTTTCTTGGACTCTTGAACCACAAAAATTGCTGAGTTGAAAGCCCTGTGTGGAAGATGCTGTGGAGTGGAGGAATCCACTGTGGTGGCTGTCCAGTTACTATTGCTTGTGAAACAGCATCACATCAGGATTGTTGGTTCCGCCCTTGTTTTGGGGTTGGAGAAAGTCAGGCACTGGGGTGGTGCTTTGGAGCCCCAGTCTGCTTGCTGGCCTGTACCTCCCACCAAGAGGACAGAGAAGGAGGATGATGTCCCCTACACCTGGGTCAGGCTGGCAGCAGAACAGAGCCCTGCACTGGGGAGAGTGAGGACCACCAGAGCCCACCCATACCCTGAGGTAGCCAGAGCCTGCCCTTCCTCTTGTCTGAGTTTTTGAGTGGCTACATGCTTGTTTAATCCCTTCTGTCACTGGCCAAGAAATGTTACCACGTGGGCTCACAAGTGAAAATGATAAAAACCAAAAAGATTCATTGCACACTTTTCCCATCCCTTTTCCTGCCTCCACTCATAATTGTTCTGAGACTGGAGAGACTCCTTCCCCCCCTCTTCCAAGAATCACAACAGTTTTTTGTTTTGTTTGTCTTTTACAGATCAATTTTGTAGCCTGTCAACTGTTTGCACTTTTGGCTGCATTTTGGTTTCGTATTTACTTAAGTCCCAGTCATGCCAGCTCTGCTGTTCGCCACGCATTTGCCACCCTCTTTGGAATATACTTTGCTGTCTTCTGCTTTGGGTGGTGAGTATTTAGTCACCATGTAGACAAGGCTTGGGTAAAATTCTTTGTAAACTTCATATCAGCTTTCCTGGATTACATCTTTTTAATCTTAAAGCACTTTATGTTATCCTAAAAAAAAAGAATATTCTAACCAGGATAATCATTCCAAACCCTTAAAGTAAAATGAGTCATTAAAGTATTTTTAAGTGAAGTATTTAATTTGTGATGTTTGTTCTGGAAGTTAAAGCCACACCAGTCTGCTGTGAAGATGCCTCTTTTGGAAAAGGTGCATCCAAGCTGAATGTGCACTTTAAGCCAGGCTGCTCTTTCTCTCAGTGAAACACATGGACAATATCTTGTCAATAACTATCAATTTGTGTTGGCTATTCAGGCTCTATATATGTAATTGTGATAATCTATGTTTATTCAATACCCTGATATGACATTGCATTTATGTCATTTGCATGGAAAAATATTCCCTTGTCCTGAACTGCCAGCCCTTCCAGGTAACAGAGAAATGATCTAAATACTCGCTTTGTTGTCTTCAAGGTATTCCATTCATCTTTTTGTCCTGGTGATGATGAACTATGGCATTATGAATATGGCGAGTATTCCCAACATACACAGGTGAGCTGATGTGGCTACAAGTCTGGAGCTGCACCTTTGACAACTTCTCTGCTTTGAGGGATTTTTTTAGAACCACCTTCTCTTCTTTCCTGCTTTTCTTTCTCAGTTACATGCAGGAGCTTTGTTCGTGCAGTAACAGAAGCAGTTGTTATCTCAATTTGTGGTTTTTGCACTGATGTATTGCATTTCCCTATAAAACGGCTGGCCTCAAAAGTTGACTTTTGCAGGCTTAATAATTTATGGCCAAACCTCTGGTTTCTTAAACATAATGAAGTCATGTTCTCCTTGGTCTTGTGTTCTTGAGGATCACTTTTGATAACCCTTTTTAATGTGTTTTCCCCTTTCTGTTTGGCCTTTAGGTATTTTCCACTTATTCCTGAGTTAGGTAGTTCAAATGAGGTCACTGTGGCAGCTTAACTTAGGGATCCACAAAATGTAGTCTTGCATTTGGTACTGGGCTTTGAGCTCAAAAATGTAGAAAGTACCAGAACTGTCATTGCTTTGAAGTAGAAGCTTATGGTATCATCATGAGTTCTCCACTACAGAATCTTTCTTTTGCCTCTACAGATGCCTTAGAGTCAGGAAGACGCATAAGTCTCCTGAAGTGCTGTGTTAAATATGAGTGCCTTCTTGGCCAAAAGACAAAAAGCACTTTCATATGAAAATGAAAACTACATGGTAGTTATGTCATCTTCTTCCACTGACTAAGAGGAAGTTCGTGTGGAAGAACTACTCTGCTCAGTCATTAAGCCTTCCTGCCTGGGTACCATACTCTCTTAAGAGAGAATTCAGCACCAAGGAGTTGTTAAAATTCTTTAGGTGGAGTCATTTGCTTCCCATTAGTCTGCACAAATAGGAATTTTTATGTGTAAAGCTGCTACTTTATAGCAGACTACAAGGATGAGCTGGCAGTTCTTCCCACTTCCTTACTTTTTTGTTCGTTTCCTAACAGCATGTGGTTAATACTATGATTTGACTTGGATGTGTTACAGGTGATTTCTGTCTCTGCACTGTGTGGCTGTTTCTGTAGCTGCTGCTGAATGCTCATATCCACATCAGTCTGGGCTGGGGAACAGAAACTCTTATTCACTTGTCTTCAGAGCCAGGGCTGTGTGAGGATCTGATGCTAAGATAATCATCTCCCCTTCTTTTTTGTCACTACCTGAGGAGACCTCTCTCTAATATCCAAATGGGAACCCCACTTAGGATTTTTCTAAGATTATTTAGAAATGTGAACCATAAACAACAAGCCTGTCTACAGCAGTCACTACCATTTTCCACCAGCAAGATAAGTATTAATGAGGTTTTTCAACCCCCTCACAGAGTGAAAGCCCAGAAGTCCAGAGGTAATTAATAATGTCAGGGGGAAAAAAGTAACTGAACAATGTTTATTAAAGCAATGCTACCCAGAGACCAAAATAAAAAGGTGTTAAAATTGTATATTACTTGTTTCCTAGTCATTGCCCCTGCCTGTTGCTTGAGAGAAATGCAGGAGTTACTGATTGTAGGTCAGAAGAACCAAGTCTACAGAGAATCATTCAATAGTTGTTTTCAGCTTCCTAGGCAAGTTGAGGTGGCGATAGGGAAATGGACACAGCTTCAGTAGGAAACCCCCTCACTCTTACTGTATAGCCAGTTACTCACAATGGGAAAAAGAGCTGTATGCTGCAACACAAGTTAAGCCAGTTCATATGATGTCACCTGCTGCTGAGAGAGTCATGTGTTGAGTCAATGTGAGGTATCAATCCAACATGCTGAACAACCTCAGGAGGTCCGGGAGGATTGGGTTAGGACTTTTCTGCTGTATTCCACTAGCCATAGCAGTGTGACTCAAAGTACATCCAGATTATTTATTTTGGCAAAATAACAATGTATTCAAGCTGCTTGAGAGTAAGCTGGAAAAATGTCAGTTTAAGGTCTGGACCTGTTCATACAGGCTGCCTGTAAAAGCACTGGATCCTTCATAGTGGGGCTTCAAGACTTGCCTTTTTTCCCCCAAAAATGCTGTGGAAGAGAACAAATGAAATAAACTACATAATTTAACCTTTGTGCTCCTTTCCTTGGTTATTTTCTGCTAGTTTGCTCTCTGGCAAGGCTGCTAGCCTTCAAGGCCTGTAAATGGACAGTTTAATCCAGCATCAGAAATGCTCCCAGCTGCAGCAGCAGATCAGTATATCTCTGCTTGTTCCCGTTTCAATCTATGTGCTTTACACATAAGCATTGAGGCTTATTTTAGATCCTTCATCTTGTCTATCACCATTACATGTCTGGGCTAGGTGACTTGCCTTTAGAGGGATGCTTGCCGTTCTCTGTTCATGAGAGGGGAGTCCAAGGACCTTGCAGATGCAGGACTGGATGCCTGACCCAGATAAAATAAGATAAATTCTACTCTGAATCTCCTGAAGAATCTGTCGTGTCCCTTCAGTCTGCCTTTCACCCAGCTCTTTGCTGTGGGTCACCTGACCCACAGGTTGCCTTGCAATCCATCACTGTCACTCACATTGTAGTTTGTTAGTCCTCAGTTTATTTCCTCAGGGAGGAAAAACTCATTTCTTTTAAAACCAGCCATAATTTGACAAAGGCCTGGCTCTTTTTCAGTTGTCTGCTGTCTGATTCTCTTGTCTGATTTCACCTTTAGTTCTCCCCTGTGATTGATCTTGTCATGTGTCTGGGGGGGAAACCTGCTTGGCAACGTGTTCTTACCAGCCTCCTGTGGTTTGGCTCTACCAGGCATGCAGGATGTGCCATCTTGTTCTGTATTCTGTTGGTCTTTGCATCTTCTCCCCCACATGGATAGCTTCTGATACAGGGAACAACAGTAGACCTTGTCCTGGCCTGTCTGTGTGATGCAAACCTTTCATTCTGGTGTCGCAGCTCTCCATTGCCCTGTTCAGCTTGCTTCATGTGTCAATCTGTTTCCAAACATCCATCCACTTCTTACTTTGCCAGTATCCTCTTTCTTGCTCATGTAAATACAGGGAGAAGTTAGTTATATGAAAGGCTGCATCTGCCCACATAGGCACAACAACATTTCCAATCCTCAGGCTGTTCAACTCTTATGATAGTCATGCTACTTCCCTGCCTAATAAAAGTTTGCTGTCATCTTGAAAAAATAGAGAGTGAATTTGTCTCACTTTACTTAAGGAATGCTTCTTTAGCTGGACACAATGATCTTAGAGGCCCTTTCCAATGTAAATGATTCTATGATTCTTCTGGAAGATGATGTGTTTCAGCATGTAGAACTGAAAAGATTGGGCTATGTGTCATTATCTGCCTTTATACAAAATCAGAAGCAAGAAAATACCTTCAACTTGGAATATTTTAGTCTCTGCTCGATCTGAGGAAGAGCTGAAAATAAAGAACATCTACAGATAAAAAAGGCAGTGGATAACTTCAGTGATGCACATACAGTATCATCTGGTTTTAAATATTTAATTTGGACAGAAATTTTAAAATCATATATGAAGATAGGAACTCTGAAATGGAAATGTGCAGTTTGAATTGATCCTATTTCTTCTTTTTTTTTTTCCCCACCCCCAGAGTGAGAAGACATCTCCATAATGTTTCTGCTGGGTACACAGAGCCATCAGTCCTCTTTGACAATTTCATCCATAGTCTTGTAGCTTCAGATTTGTTAACAATCTAATTTGCAAAATTCAAAACAAGCCCAAACCCAATTTGAGTGATTCCAGTTCTCGTTGGTACTTGTGTTGGTAACTATGTGTTCTGTATGTTATGTTTTTAGGTACTCCTTTGTCGTAGCTATGGGATACCTCACGTTATGCCACATAAGCCGAATATACATATTTCATTATGGTATTCTCACTACAGATTTTTCCGGGTGAGTGAGTCTGCAAGCTGGTTCCTGTTAGTATTAGGTGAATTCAATATTTTAAGAATAATTTTTGTGTTATCCTTGGAGCACCTGAAATTTTGTTTCCTTAAACTTTTTCCAAGGCATTTGTTGTGGGTTTGGTTGTTTTATTTTTTTTAAGGAAGGGATAAATAACTGTATGATTTTTGCACTGACTCATTGTTTCTACTGTTTTCTTGCTAGGCACTATCTAGTTAGGAAGGTAGAGCTTTGTTAGCTAGAGTTCTGCCTAGAGCAGCCTGGGAGGATTATCTGCAGAGTTACTCGCTGAAGCTGGAGGAATGCTCATAGCCCTGACGAGCAGTGTGGCTGGTGCTCTGGTCCCTGGCACTCTGCCCCAAGAGGTGGGGTGGGCTGCTCTCCTTCCAGCTTTCTAGGCACAGCTGTTGGCTCTGTCATCCTTTTCCCCATTTTGGTTTGTTGTAAATCCCCAGCTAGGAAGGTGTTTCCCACCCCAGCAAGTGTGAGGGGAGGACTTGGACAGGGGCATCCCCAGCTAGGAAGGTGTTTCCCACCTCAGCAAGTGTGAGGGGAGGACTTGGGCAGGGGTTGAGTTGCTGCTGGAGCTGTGTGAGTAACCCAGGCAGAGAGACCAGAGACCAGATTTGGTTGTTTACACCAGTCTTACAAGTTCTCTCGTGGGGGCAGGTTGTGGCTGCTGTTTTAATAGCACGACTTTTTATATGCCATGCATTCCTGTGATACAGTGTTTTTCATGTATGCTGTAGTCTTCTGGTTTCACTGAAGGAGTAGAGGATGCTTTGCAAAAACAGACACAGCTAAAACCCTGTATGTTTTATTTATGAAAGTATACTTTTGCATGATTTAAAAACAATGTGCTAATCTGTATTCCACTTGTTTAACTGAATGTCTGAATACAGAGTAATTAGTAACATACTATGAAAAACTTCTGTAAACTGGCACAGTAATTTGTACATGACTCTTCCAAGTCTGTCATCTTAAAGGCACAGAGGAAACAGAAGGTTTTTGCTGTCTGTGTGCATGTGCCTCTCTCTGAGGTGGTGGGTTTAACCATTTAATTGCAGGGGGTGGAGGTAAAGTTCCTCTGAAACTTCTGAGGCTTTTTATTAGAGGAGGGTGCAGAAATGGGAACTTATACATTTAGAGAAATTTAGTTCTATAATTTTGTCAGCAGTTCTTTTAATGCACAAAAACATGTCCTGATAGAGCATGGCATACCAAGAAGCCTATAAATGGGATTGGAATGCTATAGCTCTGTGTGTGTATGAGGCACAAACACGAGAGATCATGCTTTTCTGAACAGTGTGTTCAGAAATGCACTGTGAGTTCTTTTAATGCACTCTCTCTCTCTCTCTGTCTCTCTCTCTCTAAGACATTAATAAAGATCTGGTTGGTACTGGGGGTGGAAGAAGAGGAATGGTGGTTGTTTACATTATAGACTAGGTAGCATTTTCTGCTCTCTTGATGAAAAAGGAACTACTATTATTTAATGAGAAGCTTGAGAATAATAATAGTACTGAAAGAATAATACCTGAACTGACTGTTATTTTGTCCTGGTGCTTCAAGATGCACACCAATTCCTAAACTTCAGTCAAACATAAAACTGCCAAATAGTAAACAACTGGAAGATGTAGTACAGATCTGCACCTTCATGGTATCATGGCCTCATAAATCTGTCTTAAAACCTGTTTTCCTTAGCTGTAAATAGTTTGTACTCCCTGAGGCTTAATGCACATATCTGAACAGATGTGATGACCCAGAGAGACTAAATATACTTTCTGGCCACAGTTTTATCATGTGTGAGCACCAATTGGACCTCCTCTCGTTTGTTCTCTCGTGTTTGATGGTTCCTCATCTATTGCATGTCATTGGAAAGCATTCAGACAGGCTTCTGGCTGGAAGGATGGCCTTGAAGTTCTCCCTCATGATTTCAGAAACCACTGAGACAGAATCCATGGAGCTATGCCTATCTCCCTCCAGCCTCCCACCCTCATGAGCGAATATGGCTAAGGTAGTTCTCCCTCATGATTTCAGAAACCACCAAGACAGAATCCATGGAGCTATGCGTATCTCCCTCCAGCCTCCCACCCTCGTGGGCGAATATGGCTAAGGATATACACTGAGAGGGGATTCCAGGATATACACTGAATTTAGGGGATTCTTTGAGAGGGAACAAAAAACCCATCATCTGCTGACTTGTGTTTGAGGTCTCAGTATCCCATAAGTCTCTGATGATATCTGCTGCAAGGAGATAGTTTTAATCCACGTCAAATAGACACATAACCAGTTCTAAGCCATCAGCTCTCCAATATCAGTTCCCTAAAGTGACAAGTCAGATGTTAAATAAGTGTTTCCCAGTGTCAGTTCTGAAAGCCAGTGTCCCTTGTTTGCTTTCTTGGCCTGTTTTCTGTACTTAACAACTTGCATGCATAAAAATTTTGATGTATGCTTGCAAATAGATTTTTGGGGCTCTTTTTCAGTAATGGTTGTGCTGTTTATTTGGAACCTCCCCATTTTGAGAACACAACTTGTAAAATGCAGGTACAGATGGACAGAACAGGGTAACTTCTGAGTCATATCTTAAGCAAACTGGAAAATGGAAGATCAAATTGTAGCACATCACTTCAAAGTTAAGAAATGAGGGGTTTGTTCCCTACTTGTGACTAGTTAATTCTTCTAGCTTCTGCAAAGGGTAGGTTTGGTCCCTGAGTCCCACAGTCAGAATTGTATTCAAGCTGCTTGCAGCAATTTCTTGATTTAAGAGTTTTTCATGTACTTGGGTAAAAACTCCATATTTTTTTTAAACTATTGCCAGGTTTTAATGAAAACAAGTTCCAGCTTGCTGCACTTTAGTTACTTTTTTTAAAATGTGTATACTTTATATCAAATTTCTTCAATTTGTATTATTTTTCAAAAAAAGCGGTGGCATAGTTTAGGAATTTTCACCTTACTGCTTTCTTAAAGAAAACTATTCATTTTTGAGCAGTAATTCTAAAATAACGGAATGCTGTGCTTTCCCCTTAATTCAAATCAATCACTGAGAGAAACATGCATGTTTTATTTTGCTTGGTTTGCCATGACATTTGTACATTATACCTGGGAAAACTAAATCCTAACTCTTTCTCTCTCTTATTTCTTCTTTATGCTAAGAGGATTATGCTGGTAAGTTGCCTGGTTTCTATACAACTTTATAAGAATGGTAATAATATTATATGGCTTGGTTTTTTTGGTCTCTTTATATAACAGGTGCAGATCAAGTACAGTAATATTATGGCTTTAAGGAGAAATCAGTTTAAAATAAGGGATCTTGATTGTGATTTTTGGAAACTAGTAATAGATATGGTTTCAATCTAGCAAGCTGCATGAACAAATGCCATATGCATATGATCATCTGGATTGAATTCAGAGGAACTCCATGTCCATATGGAACTAGTGTCTGTTTTAATCCTTTGCTTGATTAAGACCGTAGATTTTTTGCAGTTTCTTCTTTGAATTCTTGCAATGTCTGAGTAAAATTTTCTAATATTGCAGGTCATTCAGTGAAATGTCAGAGAATGATTGTGCATTCTATAATATGTGAGGTTTCTTCATATATGAGCGGCAGCTGAGAGAGCTGGGCTTGTTTAGCCTGGAGAAAAGGAGGGACCTTACTGCTCTTTACAGCTAGGTGAAAGGAGGTCATATATCATGGTGATTTACAGCTAGGTGAAAGGAGGTCATATCATGGTGGGAGTCAGTCAATTCTCACAGGTAACAAGTTACAGGACAAGAGGAAATGGCCTCAGGTTGTGCCAGGGGAAGTTTAGATTGGATATTAGGAAAACTTTCTTCATGGAAAGTGTTTTGAACCATTGGAACAGGCTGCCCAGGGAAGTGGTGGAATCACCATCCCTGGAAGTGTTGAAAAACCATGTAGATATGGCACTTGGGGATGTGGTTTAGTGGTGAAGATGTCAGTGCTGGGTTAACAGTTGGCCTTGATGATTTTAGATGTCTTTTCCAACCTTAATGATTCTATGATTATTGCTGCCATTCTTTATTCCAACCTTAATGATTCTATGGTTCTTGCTGCCGTTCTTTGCAGAAAAGAAACTCAGTTTGTGAAAATCACCACAGACCGCCATTGCCACAGAGACACCGTAGCTGAATTATTAGGGAGGCTCGAGCAGTTATCATCACCATAGATGTCAAACCTGTACCTCTTACACAAGCGTTTTGGTGGACATCACTCTCCAGATGGCATGGGCATCTTTGTGTTTGCCCTATCCCAACTGCAGAAAAGCAGCAGCATTCTCAGCAAACCACTTAGAACGGGATGATAGTTTAAAGAGCCCTCTCGAAAAGCCATACGAGCAGATACTTTAGTAACAAGTGTCACTTCAGGCCGTGAATTTTTGCTGGGTGGTTAGTGATTTGTTGCTGATTTTTCCCCTCTCAGTGGCTTAGTATCAACCACAAAAGGAAGGAATAAAAGTACAACGGCCATTTTTTACAAAGGAAATAGATCTGCTGATGGAAGCAAACATAGATATAGTCTGTTACCATGTTAAAACACAGTGCAGAAATGCTAACTGGTCCTGAGGGTTCAGTTGGTTATTTTTACTTTATTGTCTTCTAAATGCATGACATGTAGTACATCTTTGCAGTGTCTGGTCCAGCAGCTCTGGGTACCTTTTTGTCTGCAGCTGGTCCCCAGAGGCAGTGCCAGCAGTGCAGGTGCAGGGTGAGTAAGGGAAGGTCAGTCTCTTTTCCATGACTGTTTGCTGCTTTGCTGTTTGACTGGGCGTTTGTCCACTTGGAGCTGCACTGAGATCGCTTACCATTGGTTACACAGGAGCCCTGCAAGAACCACAGTGTGGAAAGGAGCCAGAATTTAAGCAGGCAGTCACTACTAGAGAGCTCCACGCATCTAGTGCATACCAGGACACTTCTCCAGAAGTAACCACTTTTTAAAGTGAAATGCTTCTATCATGAAGGCTTAAGAAATGCTGTTTGAGAACTTTCACCCAAAAACCCCCCCAAAACCAACACATCAGCAAATTGGAAGTTGCTTTGGAGGTGTAAGTGTGTTGAGTGAAATGTTTTTCCTCTGTGTGTTTCAGTACTTCATTTTGCTGTTGAAAGCAAAAGTAAGAGCCCACTGGCAGTGAAGCTGTTGTGGCATCTCTGGCTTGGCCATCCCCTCAGCAGCATGGTTAATGTCATAGTAGAGTGACTGTGTGAACTCATCATGGCTTCAGGGCTGAGGTAACCCTGAAATAAATGTTTGCTGTTTTGGAGTCTTGTCTGCTATGAGCCTTTTGACTCCACCTCCTCTCTTAGTGAAATCAGGTCAGTGGAAACTATTTCTAGCGAGCATGTGCCAGACTCCTCCATGGGATTACCTAAGGTCAGGCCGACTGTGCTTGGTAAATGTCTTTCATAAGCATGGAGCTCACTCAGTGCAGAAGACAGCCTGTGATGTGGGGAGGATCCCCACAGCAGTCTACAAACGATGCTGACATCTTTAGTTCCAGTGGCCTGTGCTTCTGGGCAGATTTACTGTGTTGGGGCAAGCTGTGTTTAAAATTTACTTTAGCTGATATGTTTTCATTTGGAAGGTTTAATTAGGAGGATAACCCCTCTTTTGAGCATCCTCTGTTGCATCTCTGTCTTATGTTATTTTTTGAGGCATCTGACATGAGATGAACAAAAAAATATAAAGCTGCCTTTACTTTATGTTATGTGCCTTGAAAAATTAAATTGCCCCTGAGAAAATTTCTTGATTTTTTTTTTTTTTTTTCAATACAAAATGTCCCACTATGGTTTGCATGTAGGAGGTACATCACAGCTACAACCTGAGATTAAACTCATAGCCAATATATAAAACATTGCAGAGGAAGTTACACCACAGGTAAATCAAATTCTGTGTTTCTGTGCAAGTTTGTAACTGTAGTGCTTAGTAGGACAGGCAAAGAGGAGAGGGTGTGGAGTCACCACTGAGCACGTGGCCACAAAACAATTGGAAGGTGTTCAAATACAGTGGAGTTCAAGTTGTTTAGGCTTCTAAATCTGCTTTATTTCAAGTGCTTCCTTCCTAGGGGTAAGTCTTCATGCTTCATCTATAAATACAACTGTAGGAGGTAGATTTTCTTTTAAAAATTCAACCTAAAAATTTGCCCTACTCAAATAACCTGTGCCTCTCAAAATTTGGGAGAAAAAAGTTTATTGGAAGCTTTATAGTTTCATCAAATCCCCTTCTTGGTTTTAACACTACTGACTTTTTTCCAGTAGAGTCTTAAGGCTTAAAATATTATCATGTTGGAAACAGTTGACTACATGTGATATGATGCTGTATTTTATGTATTAACTTACTCAGTGTTTTATTGCTGTTTAAAATTAGAGGCTGCTTGAAAGGCTTAATAGAAATGACAATGGTGTAACTCTGGTATTGCCAAGTTTTAATAATCAAAACCCACATGTTTAGGAATTTATGATCCTATTTTCCCCTCCTAAAGTAAGGGAGAGCTCCAGTACTGCCATTGTTTTGTTGTGCTCTGCCTTCTCCTGCAGCAGAGGTTTGGTCCCCCATGATATCACGTCAGTGGGGGAATGGTAGATGGGTGAGGGAGGAGGAAGATGCTGCTTGTTCACCTGAAACCTTGCTTACCCTTTGTGTGAAGTGTTTAATGATATCTGACACTGATCTTGTGAAAGATGCAGTGTGTGTCATCCCATTGCCACTGTACAGCAGGTCTCCACCTTACCAAGTAGGGTAGAGAAGAGATATGTAGACATGTAACATGATGATGGCAGGAGGGAGAACTCAAGGTATCTAATACACTTTGTGGCTATGCTTCTCTCCCACGGTGTCAAAAGCATCACTTTTGTGCTCGCTTATCTCCTCTGGAATTGGGATTTGTGGGAGACAGACTGTCTGTCTTTTCTGATTAAAGTGCAGGAAAGGTTGTCTTGTTCAGCTGGGCTACAATGTGCCATCAATGAGGCAATGAATTCCTAATATAGATGAAGAGAACCTCTCTCTTCTCTGTTTATATGTTGTATGACTTTAGTGCAGGCTGCACTCCTGCTTCCCTCAGTTAATCAGCACGTCAGGACTGTTTGCATTTTGCTTCTCTCTGGCTTGCAGTGGGGGCCCTGATTTTCTAAGACAAGTGTCTAAATTTAGGCACTTAAAGTCATACAGTTTTGGCTCAGAGCCTGAGGTTTAAAGTTACCCACTTCAATATTGGCATAAAGCGCTTGCCATGAGAAACATGTGCAACAAATTGAACCAATTTGAAACAAGTGTTAATGTTCTCCCATAAAGCTAAAAGGTCAAGCACTGACAGAATAAAAATCTGTGTTTATTGCAGTAGAACTGCTGGTTCACTGACAGCCTCTGTCTCCCTTAAGGCTTAAAAAAATCTGCCTTTTTATATGCCTAAAGGATTAGGATTTATGTATCTTTGAAAGCAAAGCCAAACTTGCCTGAATGGGAAAATCTACTTTGAGAAACAGAATGTTGAAGATAATGGTGAAAACAGTGTATAAATAATTTTTCTTGAAAGATTAATTGGAATAAAGATTAGAATGACTATTCCACAATATTGTGGTTGTCTGGAAGGTGAAAAGTCATTGTTGAATTTGTCCATTCCTTAGCTGCTATTAGTGGTCAGGGAGAGCTGCTGTACAAATCCTTGCATTACAATTGTATTCATAAGCCTACTCTGGATTTTATGTGCAAACTCTTTTTTACTGACATTTTGAGTACAGACTGCTGAAATCATTTCTCATTAAGAAATTGCTGATACTGCAATATTGTTGTCTGGTGGGTAGAAAATGCAAATTACCCATACAGCATTACATGTGGACTCTTGAAAAAGATCAACCATATTTAGTGTTAAAAAAGGAGACCATTTAGAATGGAAAGATGTCTTTTGCTAGTATTTGTGTGTTTACCATATGAATTATCTTGAAAATCTGTTTGATTTATCTCAGTGGGATAATCAGATTGCAAACAGTTTATCTTAGCTGTTGGGTTTATATTTGATTAGAACCAGTAGGTCACTTTAGTCAAGGATGATCCAGAATCTCTGAAAATCTCTGCAGAACAAGAGTATTTGACTGTTATTTTAAATAAGGGGCATGGCTGAGTGTAACTTTCACTTTTTTTTCCTTACCTTGACAAATTGGTGGGGAAAATACAATGCTTGTACTTCAAAAAAAAGCCTTCAACTATTTTTTTTCTTTAGTTGCATTCCAGAAAATATATTACAATAATTAAGATGTGTAGCCATAATATTTGGAGTAATCATCTACTTCTCTTAAAAAAGTTCTATATACTGGTCAGACTCTGTAAATAGCATGTATACAAACTCAAATCTTAATTTCCAGGTTGAAGACATAATTTGTGTTTGAACAGAAACTTCCGTGTGGTTAATGTTGTTAATTTATCCCCAAATTGAGAAACAATCCATTGTATTAATCCTCAGTGAAGACAGATCTCTTATGTGGGACTGGTTTTACATAAAGTCATCACAATTAATGCTTTTAAAACAATAGTGTGTCCTCATCACCCGTTACCACCTCCTGGCTGTTGTGGCTGTGAAGGTCTCATAGGTGGTGTGAGATCTGGGCATCCTGTGGTGGTGTCCCCAGTAGCAGAGAGACTGGGAAAAGCAGTGTTAGCAGGTGCTTGTTATTTGCTTTGCCTGCCATGGATCCTTCTAGATTACAGATGTTCAGTGGCAGGTTCTGTGTTTAGGGCTCCACAGCCCTGAGAAGCTGTGTATGAACTGCAATTAGCCCTGGAGCCTCTGCTGATGAGGAAGTGGTAGGTTGTCCCCATGGTTTCCCCCCATCTTTCTTCTTACCTTCCTCTAAATGCACTTGGCTGTGTTTTCTACCCTCATGGGAACCAGCTCCTGATGCCAGCAAGCTGAGTTTTGCCTTTTTTTCCTGTTCCTTAGCTGCAGCAGTTCACATTTGCCATCAGTGCTAAGAAGCTCCACAAAGCTGGATACAGGATGTATAAATGGCCCTGTTGAGCACAGTGGCTATTTCTACACTGCATGTTTAGTTGGCACCAAAGCTGCTGGGTGGTTGTAAGCCTGGCTCAGATACAGCTAGCTCATGTTTTCAGAGGCTCCAGATCCCACATACCCATACACTCCCAGCTGGATGGGGTATCTTGTTCAGGCTTTCTACAAGGCAGTTGCATGGCCAAGAAGCAAATGCTAAACTGCTGTGCTGACAGCTACTCTGGTATTTGCACACAGTCCTAATTGATAGAGCTATTCATGTGGGGAAATAAGCATCTGTATCTGCAGAGTCAACATTTTTTTAGGACACTGAGGAGTCAGACAATAGGAGAGTAACAGTAAGAAGAGCCAGAGTTATGTTACAGCAGTATTGCTGTATTCTAGTGTTGCCTTGTATGGGGCTTGAATTTGGTATTTGCCTGAAAGAAAGCCCAGTGGACTGTAGAAGCTGGTATTTCCTAGTGGTGCAATTTCTTCTGAACTACAGTTTGCACTGCTGCATGATAGGGAGACATAAAATAACGCTTTGTGTGCACTTAGCAATTGAAAATTCCAGTGCAAGTTACTGTGGCGTTGTTTTGAACCCAGGCAATTGTCTTATGCCTGAGTGCCTCCTTCAGCTTTAATTGGATGTCTTCCACTTGTTGCTAATACAGTTATGCCTTTTAAAGGGATAAAGACATTCAGTAAGAAAGTTGGGAATAATTTGTATTACAAGACATGTAATTGTTGCTTCTGTCTTTGTTGTAGTCCGCTGATGATAATTACACAGAAGATCACAACGCTTGCATGCCAGTTACATGATGGTAAGAAAAGGAATCTCTTCCCACAGCCTGAAGACAGCCTTTTTATTCCAGTGCATTCTGTGGCTGAGTTATGGAGTGGATGAATGTAGTTCAGTGAGTTGTTCCAAATGAAGAAGAAAAATGCTTTGTGGAGGAAAATGTGAAACTTCAAATTTTGATCAGTTCTCTAGGATCAAAGTGCCTTTGCAGTATCAAAGACAACTGTTTTCCCCTTTGGGTGCTCTACTTCCTTGAGGCCCAGTTTGGAATTTAGCTAGTATCAGTATCTCGGGTATAGATGCTACAGTGCATCTCCATTAAGCTCTCTGAAGTTGTTCTTCATTCTCAAAAGTAGAGAGTTGCGTTTGATGCATAGGTTCAGTCGTTAATGTTAATTTAGCAAAAAAATGCTAGCACTGATATATTCAGTGGTAATATACTCCATGAATTGTGAGAGATGGAATTCAGTGGCTTTTTCCCAGTGCAGAGAGAGGCACAGTTGCAAGCAAAATAACATTGTCTTCAGTCTTGTGCTGTGCTGTGACAAAGAGTGCTATTATTTCCCAGTAAAACGCCTGGAAAAAAACTGTGTCTAGTACAGTGCAAAGGCTAGAAATGTCAGTTTTCATCAGTAGCATTATTGCTTGTGCCTACTGCTGTTGCAGTGTGAATTTCTGATAGTCTGAGGCCCATTGTATTATAAGCTGAGTGACTAAATGTGTAGCCTTCTACAGAGTTGTTAGGATCTAGGTGATAGCCACACCAGAGACTGCGTGATCTGGTTTTGTTTGCAAGCCAGGTTTACAAAAGTGAGCCTAATGCTTTTAACTGCCTATAATGGGTGCAGCTTGAAGTTCGGCTAATTGACCTTGTCGTTGGCATTCATGTTCCTCTGCTTCTGTTAATTAAGCTGCCCAGCTCAGGTTTTGCTGCATGCCACAGCAGAGTGCAGCCTGGGTACACACCTAGAATACTGAAGGTAAACGAACCATCAGAAAGGAAAAAGGTAACAGCAGAGGTAGGAGCATTTTAAACAGACTGGAAATCCTGCAGATTAGTGATGGTGGAAAAGGCTCATTACACTGTGAACATCCATATATGGAGCAGTTGATCAAATGGAGGCAGCTTGCAGTTCAAGCATCAGTGACAAATTTCTATTTGTAAAAATTTAACATGACAAATTTCTATTTGTAGAAATTTAACACAGCTGCCCATAAGTGGAAACAGACAAACAAAATACCCAGCCCTTTAAGTAATTAAGTGCTTAATTGTTTCTCTGAAACTCAGGCCCTCCCAGTATTTACAAACTGAAACAGTGGAGAGAGAATGGAAACTAGCAATCGTTTTAGGAAATGGGTCTTCTGTGTGTGTATTGGTAATTATGGCCAATACATTTAGAAGAGTAGTGTAAACTGATGCCAAGCAAGCCCCTGATCTTGCAGAGCTGTACACTTGCATGCTCCACGTCAAGTGCTGTGACTCATCCCGTGGTGAGTTGTTCTGGTGAAGCTAGTGGGATTCCTCACAGTGTGTGCAGCTAAAGTTTCAGAGTGAAGGTTTTGAGATATTTGCTTTAAGCAACATATTTTACCACTGGCCATCACACAAGATTTTGCCATACTATTCCTGGGACACTGAGTCTGTGCTTTACCTCTGGCTCCAAAGGTCTTGTGCACTCAACAGGAGGTTACCCTTCCAGCCAAGACCTTGTACAATTCCAGGTTATTACTGATGTGTATGTTTAGGCTTGCTCCAGCAGCAGGCAGCTGGGCTGCTTGTTCACACCGGTGGAGCTTCTGTTCCCTGAGAGCCTGTTTCCCTCCCACTGCCCACTCTTCCTGCTGTGAAATGCTCCATTTCTCAACAAGGAGCCAGCGGGAGGCTTGTGCTTAAATGAACCAGTGGCTTCTGGCAACAGAGGTTTTTCCAGCCCAGGACTGTTTGTAGAGGCTGCTGGGGGTCGCTGCCAGTTGGTGGCATTGCCACTTGCATTGTGTGTGTGTGAATGCTATGGCTGCTCTTCCTGACAGTGTAGCCAGGGTGAGAAAGGTGGAGTGAGGTAAAGAACTGGGTAAGGAGGTAGGGAAGAACATGAATATAGTTCACCTAAAAGTTAGGAATTGAGCTGTATTACAACTGCCTGTGACAAAGAAATTTTGAAGCTTATGGCTTTAAAAAGTTATTTGTGGGGTGCAAACATAAGGCTTTGGGAATAGCTTTTACTGTTTTGTCTATTGGAAAGATCTAATGTGACTTTTCTTTCTAGGAATAGGGCGACAAGCTGAGGAACTCACTGCTGAGCAGAATCGGCTTGCTGTAAAGTAAGGATGTCATTCTCCTAATGATTTGTGTTTAATTTCTTCCAAAGAAGTTTAAGGTTTAGGTTATTTGAGGGTTTTTTTGGTTGGGTTTTTTTTTTTTTCCATTGCAATGTCAGGAACAACTTAGTGGCCTGGTCATGAACATGTTCCCTGCTTCTTTCCAGTCCACGATATGCCAAAAGTCCTACCTGCTTTTTCTATTTGATTGAGCAGTTTTGTTTTTGTAATGCTGCTGTCATTGCCCTCCTTACACAAACAGTTTCTCTCCTATATTCTTTATTTCTTCAATCCAAGACTTCTGCCTTAATCACCCTGTACTAGTCAGTAAAGCACTGAAGTGCTTGACAATGTCTCATAGACTTAAATATATATTGCACAATCAACAGAACTAGTCTTTGCTGAATTAACTCTTTTAAATTTAGGCTCAGACTGTACTATAGGGCCGTTTTGGCTGTTATCTTAATCCAGTCTGTGATATGTTATTTTTCCTTCCTTTTCCTGTCAGCAAACCACTGCATAGTAATAATCCATTTTGGTTTTACTCTGAAACTTCAAGTACTGTTTTCTTTCATTTTTGAATGCTGGAATTTAATTTTTTTTTTTAGTCTCCATAATGTTAATACTCCTAGTTATTCACATTGTGACTAGTCTTCTCATTTTTCAGATGGAGAGAGAATGTTGTAGACTTTGAGAGTCTAGTTTGTCTCTCAATACAAGTGCAGGATGCAGGTGAATTTGTTGGGTTTTTTAAAAGAATAATTAGTGTTACAGAATTACTGTTAGAACCATAACTACTTTTCACCATGAAGTGTTTGTTTAAGGCCAAGGAAATATTTTCCTTCATTTCCAAGGCAGAAGATTCAGACATCAGGAAATCTGCCTATGAGCTTCAAAAAGTAAGAGAGGTATTTCTTGAAAAGCAGAAATCCTGTAGGTAGCCTTGTATAACTTTGCTATGCCCCGTAGCTCTGTGTCTATTTTTAAAGTTCACAGCATATTGTTTAACTGCACTGGGCCCTTGTGACCATATGATTAATTCTAGTCAAATTCTCACCAAACAGGCTTTTTTTTCTTGTACAGTAGATGAGCTCATAATAGAAAAGCAGATGCCAGTAGCTCAAGTGTCAGTGGCAGACAAGTCATAACTGAAGAGTTTTAAATCCCCTTTGGTAATACAGCCTTTTGTCTTCCCTCCTGTTCTTGGTCTGTTTTTGTTTCTCACTCATCCTCTGTACATTCCTTCAAGCATTGCTCATGTCTCCCCACCCAACCATGTGCAGAATCTAAGTTGAAACTAATGACTTTATTTTTAATCTTACTGTAGAGCTCAGAAGCCCCAATCATGGACCTGATTTTGCAGAACAGAAAGATGAGCCTTACCCCAAATTGCTTGCTGCATCTTTCTGTGAAATGTTTTCACCAGAGAACTTACTGTTCAGGCACTAACATCTACAATAACCAGTAGGGTGAATGCAGAAAATCCTGGTTAATCTAACTGTTTATTCAAACTAATTCCACTTCAGAATAAAAGTAGGCAACAGCAAATGTTTAACTGTTGCTTAGTTTTTCTGCTAGAAATTTCGTTTAGTATGAAAGAATTTTAAGTGGGTTTTGGTTTTTCTGTGTCTTGGAGAGGAGAGCCCTGAAGCACTGTGCCAAAGTTTGTATTCTCAGCTGAGGGCTTCACATTTACTTGAATGGTGACTATTAGCACATTTGTGGAGAGCACTCTGTAATGTAGTGCAGAGCACAGTGCACAATTTGAATGTTGTCAATTTCTGCCACATGAAAAAAACAAGCCCAGAATTTTCAAATTACACTAGTGAGGCCTATGCATCTTCCTTTTCCATCCTACTGATCTATTGCAAGGACAGTGGATCTTCTTCATTCTACATCAAATGTAAAATCCCATAAGGAACTGGTGGCATATGCACTTGTTAAATGGAAAAAATTAATAGGACGGACTTTCTTTTGACTTTCAGCTGTCTTTTAATTTATGTGAGGTTTTTTTCCCCTTAGTTCCTTTTCCTGTTCATGATGCAATACAGGCAATTGCTTCCTTTATTTGCACAGTAGGAGAGAGTGCCTCTTCATTCTCTTCCTCTATGTCTCACACAGCACTTCCCATTTTTCAAAAGGCTGGACTGAAGGGTGGGTGAGAGCTCCTCTCAAGACTCTTAGATCCTCCCTGCCCTGTGGTTTGTACAACAAGGCAGCATGGTCCCTGACATACTGGACAGATGTCCAAAACCGTTTACCAGTTTCTCATTTCTAGTACTGCTGGCCTGTTCAAAATGCACAAGGCAATTTGTTTGAGAGTGGGTATTTAAGTTTATTACTTTTTTTTAGGATTACAACTTTTCAAATCATTAACATTAGTTCAGCTGTACTTTAAGTACTTCCACGTTACCTTTGTTCTGTCTGCCATCTGCCAGACATCACCAGAATATAAGACAGACTGTATTTCATTTTCTGCAAAACAGATCTATCAAGCTTTAATCTGGGTGAAGTTGGTGGGAGAGAGGTGGGGACTGAGGCAGACAGTGCACCAAAAACCTTTGGTGAAAGCCTTTGCTGTGTTTTACCTTGTTTTGTTTTGTTTTTGTTTTGCTGTGTGTGGGTGATTTTTCACAGGTCAAGACCTTCTTTACTGGAGTACTTAAGTTATCTCCTCAACTTTATGAGCATCATAGCTGGGCCTTGCAGCAATTACAAGGACTATATTGCCTTCATTGAAGGGAGGCATGTGCACATGAAACTGTTAGAAGTGAACTGGAAGCAGAAGGGTTATGACAGACTTCCTGATCCTTCTCCAACTGTAAGTTTTAAAATTACAATGATATATTGCAAAGGGCAGGAGGGTACAGCTTCATACATGATTTTCATACTTAAAAACTAAGAAGAAAAAACAGTTTTGGATTATGTTCCCAGTAAATGTTACAGTGGTTTTTTTTTCTGTGAGTGGCTGCTGTTTTTATCACAAGGTCAGGGGTGAAGGGGCTAGTGAATTCCCCAAATGGGTTTGGCTTGCAAAATGGGTCACTGGTTAATGGATGTCCTTTGTGCAGCGATGGGAACGGTCTGCAGGTTCTGACAATGATGAGTTGCAGTTTAGCTCCAGGCAGAAGAGGAAGTGTCAGGAAAAAAAAGTCAAATCTCTCCCATAGTGCAGGAGATGGTAGAAGTACATGAATCATAGTTAATCAGAAACTATGGCCCGTCCAGGTGCTTTGCAAGAGAATCTCACACTTTAAGATGACTTGGAGGTAATTTTTTCACACACTACTAACACTAATTTTATATTTTTAATATTGCTTAAAACCTTATAAAATGGCCTTCTTATGAAGCATGATAACATAGCATGAGAACCAGATTTCTCTGCCTCATCTTAAGGTGACACTGAATGTGCAGCTTTGTGAGTATGTGCAGAATGTCTCCTCTGATGTCGAGTATGTACTTTTGTATATCCGATTCCTGTTGCACACAGTTGTCTTTCTACTGACTCTAGTGGCATTGCTTCTGATTTACATTAATCTGACTGAGGTCAGAATAAGGCCTATCTTGGGTAAGATGCAAGTCAGCAGAGAATATCAAAATCAGCATAAAACTAATTGCACATTATTTTATTCCAGGACATTGAGAATACATAACAAGAGTACTTGAAATCAAAAAACAGCATTGTTGTTTCAATAGTATATTGCATTTTTATTAGTCTTTTGAGAACATGAGTGAACTTTTACATGGTACCCAAGTGCCAGATATACTTTTTAAGTATGACTGTATAAAGAAGCATTTACTTGTGGTGTCTATTTGAAAACAAGCTTCAAACTCCTGCCATGATTGTCAGTAAGTGTTTAGGAAGCTAGGGAGCTGTAACAGGAAACACTGTGGCAGTACAGATACTCACTCTATCATGGGTATAAGAGCTGTACAACACATATGCCTTTTCATCAAGTGATTTTTAGCAAGACCTCTGGGTGCTAGTTGGGAAGTACACCTACCATTGTACAGAATACTGATGCTTTCGGCTCCCAGGAGGAATCCAGTCTTTCATTCCAGGAGATGACAGTACATCTAGGGAGGATTTCTGCTTTCCATTGTAGGGTTTGGCTTCTTTGTTTCCTTTCTTATTTTAGGACCTCTACTAACTCATGTGGGAGGGTTTAATGAAGTTCATCACCAATTTTGACTTGTAATTGTCCTGTATACCTATCTGTAGGTAATTCAGTAAACTAAATGAAACCAAAGCTTTGACTCTGACCTTCTATTTGTCACCTATTCTAGATTAATTAGTATCAATTTTGTCACTGCTGACTTTATTGGTTCTTGAAGCACACTGTTTTTGTATGTCACGAGCACTACCTTTTTTCCCTCCTTAAGCAAATGTTTCTAATGAGTGTTTCATTGCTGTTTGTGCTTTTCAGGGAGCAGTGATGTACAAGCTGTGTATCACACTAGTATCTCTCATTTTATTCTTGACTCTTACCAAGAATTTTCCCATGGAATATATTATTGATAATGAATTTCTTGATAAAACACCCTTCTTGTCAAGACTTGGTTACCTGTATGTCGTAACACAGGCAGCAAAACCAAAGTATTATTTTGCTTGGACGTTGGGTAAGTCTGGCTATATCATGTATTTTTGTGTGTAACAAATGACAATAAAAGGGTGAGGAGGTCTGAAATTTTGGGGGAAAGGAGGAATAAAATGATCCCTAGACCTGTAGCTAATGTGGGAGATGTATATGTGTTCATTTAGGCAGTGGACCCTGATAAAGTGGGGACATCAGTCAAATGTTTTGAAAAAACAGGCATAAAATCTCTTGTAACTTGTTTGACATTCCCTGCCTCTGGAGCCAAATCTCCTTTTCATCTTCTTTACAGTAAAGTCAATGTAATGATTTCCTCTTACTTAAAACTTTGCTGTTATACCAAATTAATTATTACAGGTAATCCTCCTCTAAGCATTTATTTTTATGCTTTATTCATAACTTTTCACTTATATTGGTGGGGTTGAAAGATTAAAATTTAGCACACTGACACAGGCTTTGCTTGTTACAGTGCAGACAGACCTCTCTTTTCCTTTAGGGACCTCTTTAGTACATGTGCCTCTATAAGAAAGCTGTGGTGCTTGTGGTGGGGCTGAAGTTAGGATTTGCCTCTAGGGCACTGTGGGGTCCTGTATAAACCTTGGCTTTGAGCAGTCAAGAGAAAAAGTTGGAGAACTGTGGAGTAGGTGGGGAACAAAGGAGGGGTTGGGAAGGACCCAAAAATCTCTGCAAGGGAAAGAAGTAAGAGGGCTTGTCAGAGAGAGAAAAACAAATTTTTTCTAGTAGCTGGTTAGACTGCTGGTCAAAAGGATCGTTTTACATTTTACCTTCTTCCTTTTAGAAAGCACCTTTCATGTCTGTATGTGAGGAGTCAAATCCTTACAGGCCAGGCTGAAAATTGACTGATTTTTTTTGCTGGTATTACAAGGCATTGTGTAGGGGAGATCCTGAAAACTCAGCCAGCAGTGGACTCTGAGAAGGGTGTCACTGAGATGGGATGCAAAGAGCCAGGGAAATTTATTCTGAGGCTGTGATTAAACTACTGGGAATACTGTCAGGTTGAGGGAAGGCAGCCAGGACTGGCATGTGTGCGATGGGAAAGGCTTTTTGATAAAGAATCTCCTCCTCACAAACTTATTTTTGTGGTATCAAATGTTAAGTTGTTACTTCCATTTTTTCAGGAATTACAGTTAACTGAATGTTCATTATTGAAGAGAGAAACGGAAGTTGGATTTGTGACATGACTAAGCCATAGGGGCTGTAGAAGTATCCTACAAATGAGGCAGTTCAGGGGAAAAGCATGCATTGCATACTGGAGGGTGAGGCCTCTGTTATTCACATTGCAAATCCAGGCAGCAAAACAGCAGACACTTCATCCCTTCCCAGTTTCACTCCTGGGGGCATGGCCCAGGGCATTACAGAAGTACCTGCTGAAACAGGCAATAAACTCTTGCTGTCCTCAGAAAAGGACAGGCATGCTATTGTGCGAGAGCTGAGCTGCTGAATTCCTCCAGTTCCATGGAAAGAAAATTTGGCTTCTCCCTGCATTAGAGATAGTCATAGGAACGTGGCTGCAAACCTAACTCCAAGCTGTCAATGAAACCACTTCAGGTCTGAGTGCCTGCATCCAAGGAGCTGTGAAAGTGATATGCCAGAGCTGTTCAAGTCAGTAGGGAAACAATCCTCTGCTGAGTTTTGTGGAGATTGGGATTTTGTGAGCAATTTGAGAGTGGACAATTGCCATCCTTCTGTGCTTCACACTGCTCTGCAGACAGCAGATGGGAAGCAGGAGGCTGAGGGGTCTGCTGTATTACTATTACTCGTGATTTCTGGTTTCTTGTTTTTGACAAAGAAACACTAAGTGGTTGATCTCTGCCACCCTTGGAGCAAGGAGGAGTAAATCCAGGAGTACCTCCGCTCTGGGGTGGCAGTGCAGCTGCAGTCTCTGAGATTGGGCAGGATCCTATGGGACAGTGTCAGGCAGGGTTGGTTGTTTGTGTTTTTTTTTAAACAGAGGTAATTAAAAACTTGGAGACCTTTCTTGTTTAGTGAAGTGGAAAATAAAATGGAAAGTTTCAGGTTAGAGAAGGTTGTTTGTTTACTTATTTATTGTTAGTCTTGCTGCTTTTAATTAGGTTGTCTCCATAGTTTTGTGCATTAGGGTTTGTCCATGAGCTTGTGCCTCTACTTATAGTATTTTACAAAGCAAAATCAGTTTTCATTCTTGGAAAAGAAATGCTGACCTTTTTTAAGCATAACCAGGCTTGTGTTTTATAAATGCTCTAGAAGGAAAAGCCTTACATGTCCTTGCACTTTCTTTTTTTTTTTCCCAATGATCCTCAGTGTTGGCTTCAGCTAGTGATCCAGAGATATAATGAATCATCCCTTCTGTTTTCTTAGTCCTCCAAGAAGGTATTTCTAACAGGGGCACAATAAAAGCAGAATCTTGAGACCCAGTGATGAGGTGACTCCCAGGCTAGTCCAAGAGGGGAGGTAGTTGACTGTGCCCTGGGAAAGAGCAAGAGTGCAGCAATGTGTAATGTCTACTGTTATCGAGGCTTTTATTTCACTTAAAGTAGCTAAGTCAGTAATTGAAACTACTCAATATTTGATTTGTAGAGTTGGTGAGGCACTTTAGTGAGGCACTGAGCGACAGGATTAGCAAAAGTCTTTGTCTGTGGAAGTCTGAATGACAGTCTTAATTAAAACAACCATGTTGGAACTCGTAATAGAAATAGTAAGCATACCTTTGACACCACAGTTTTTCTGAATTCTGGAAAATGCTGTGACATCCAGGTGCCCTTTTGAGGAAAATGCTCATTCGTATTATGGCAACACTTGTATATCAATCTCAGATGGATAATAAAGGCAAAATAATAGGAAAAGTGATTTCTAGTCATTGTGATTTTACTGTTTTATTTCTTCTGCCCAAGGAGTAGCTAGTCTTTTCTCTTGAGGAAATTGCTCTTGTATAGCCTTATAGAAATGCCCCTTTGCATAGAAGATTCTCTTGGAAAGAGAGGTCGCTAAATGCTACAAAGCTGGCTTGAATCTGTGTTTAGTATCATACTGTCTTGTAAGAAAATGTGTCTCCTCCAGCAGTCTGATTTTGACCCATTTTACTTTGATATTGCAGCAGATGCAGTCAACAATGCAGCTGGTTATGGATTCAGTGGAGTTGATGAAAGAGGCACTTTCCGCTGGGACCTGTTGTCCAACTTGAATATCTGGAACATTGAGGTGAGATAAAGGAGTAAAGGAGTGGCTGCATTGGCATAATTATAGAGAAGTGGCCATGATAACGTGGAGAGACTTTGTTGAAAGGAAAATAAATCCATGCTACCAGCCTGCTTCTCTTTAGCATGAAGAGGTTTTGTATTTTATCTGTTAGGCAGATAAAAAGCACCTGTCTCACAGGCTTCCTCATGCTCTGTATTCTGGGTGCATTTCTAAGTAGTTTATAGAAGGCTAATAAATAATTATATCAGATACTTAATAAATGAGCAGTCAATTACTGTAGATTGTGGCTGAGTTCAGTGGGTCAGTAAATTGCTCGCAGCTATGATTCTTCACCATCTGTGGTGTATTCTGTTTATTTACTTCTAACAATCTTCCACTTTTGTAGCTCAGTTGAGATGCATGGTGGTAGGGAAAAAAGCTGCCACGAGTAGTCATTGCACAGACACTTGCAAGGGCTGGAGTGCCTCTTGTAAATGGAGAGAAGCAAGGGTAGGAGACACAACAGGTACAAACCAAGCAACCTGAATGGGAACTGACAGGGCCACACAGAGCTTAGAGAGCTGCAGATCTAGAGTGTCATCCAGCAAGCCACACTGTTTCTCAAAACATCTGTCACACATGTTTCTTGTGACCGCAGTATACTTTTAAGATCTGTTAGTCTTTTGTAAGCTATTTATGTTTGTGACTCTAATGCAAAAGATGGCCAATATAACTTGTTTACCCCAAGACTATTTTGTTAATGCCAGTGAGATGGGGAAATGTTTATATGTCTGAGACTGCTTTGTAAAGGCTTCTTGTTTTTCAGAAATAGGAGGAGTTTCCCCCTGTAATTCTGCAGATACAATTTTAAAAGTTATCGCAGATGAAAATAAGTTGCCTGCTTTATTGTTGAATGATCTGTGACTAAGTGAATGTGCTGTAATAGTTCCTCTCAAAAATGAAAAGGCCCCTGTAATTCTTCATCGAAGATGCCAAAACTGGAAGCATCATTATACATTCCCTCTTTTTCAGCATTCTTTTTCTTTATTTAACATTAATTAATCCTCAATGTACATCTCTCCTTTAGCAGTACAGAATACACAGCCCAGAAATGCTTTACACTCCTCAGTGTCAGCAGCACTCTAGATACAGCTCTGAGATCTTGAATCAATATCTGATTCAGTTTTGGAGCAGGAGATGATTCCTGCTTTGATGGGCTGAGGCAGCTTCTGTTTGGAGAAGGAAAGTGAAGTGCAGACAGTGTTCTTTAGTCAAGCCAAATCAAGGCAACAGGAGCCTTTGCTCCTCTCTACCCACTGTAGGCCTCTCAAAACTTACTTCCTTTACTGGCCACATAGGCAACAGAGATCAGAAATTGTTTCCAAGAGCATAAAACAGAGCACTCTATGTTGACTGCATCATGCATACAATGAGAAAAAGAGAGGCGACAGAGACTTTGACTTTTGGTAAGCCTTGAACCATCACTTTATGTGCCAACAACACTGGGAGTTGAAGTTCAAGTGTGATTGTACAGTGTGTACAGGTATAGTGTATATATTCAGCAGGTATGGCCACCTGCATGTGTCACATTACTTTAGAGTTGGGAACTTAAGTGCTAAATTGACTATTTGATCTGTAGTAAAGATAAGCACGTGGCAGGAGTTGTGCAGGCATTCAAACGTGACAGGATCTAAATGCACATGGAGGACTTCAAAGCCTTGGCAGCATGTTTGTTTTGACAGCCAGTGACTACTTTCTCTCTTGGTAATGTAATAGGGGAACTTAAAGGAGGCCAAAAGAGGGTGACAATATTAGTTGGAAGACAAACTGTATTTTTCTTGGTTTCTCTTGGTGCAGTAATGCAATTGAAATGTAGCAGTGCAGCACTGGGAATTGCTAATCATTTTAACTCTTTAAATGCAGAGGAGGAAATGCTAGGCTTAACGATTCTGTGTGGAAGTGTGAAGATAGCTGCATATTCCCCTTGGAAACCTTTGCCCTTAATCCATCTTTACAGTGTGCCCTTGTCTTCAGCTGATATGGCAAAATAATGTGGTATCATTGAATCATGTCCCTCCTTGGAGAGGAGGTCCTCAGAGGTTTCTGTCAGCAGGCGAGGAACCAAGGGGGAGCAGGGATGGAGAACCACTAGAGGTGAAGTTGACCAGGATTAGGGGAACTTCTGCTGAACAATGGAGTCCCTCAGTCCCCTAAAGCTGGGGGAAATGGTGCTCTGAGGAGGTATGGGCAGCTCTCCCAGGACTCTGGAGTCTACTCTGGTTTCTCAAGCTTGGTAGTGGGCTGAGAATTGGGTTCTAAATTTAGTCCTAATTTTTTTTGTCTGTGTTTTTCAGTCTTCCCCTTCCTTCTCCAAATAATAATGCATTTCTTTTCTTTTAATAACACATTGTTTCAATAGCACTCTAGGGAAGTCCAGACTGCATAATGGGTGGCAAGATATCTCTTCCAAAAATTAAGCTGTTTATGAACTGAAGGGAAAGCCAAGCATATAAAACAAGAAAGCTTTTCAGACTTCCCATAATTTGAAAAATAACCAAACATTGTATTTCATTCTACAAAACAAAGTGAGATTTTACAGAAAGTGCCAAGTGTTAGCAGTGAGCCATCAGCCCAGTTAGTGTTCCTCACAAATCATATTAGTGTAATGATGGATTGTGGCACAGTTTTCACAACAGTTAGCTGCCAGAATTAATATTTTCCATGTACCTCCTCACTAATTTAAAATGCAAGTAGTTTTTTACAGGTTTCAGTGCTAACATTTCATGTGAACTTCTTTTTCAGACTGCAACAAGTTTTAAAATGTACCTTGAAAACTGGAACATTCAGACAGCTGCCTGGCTAAAACGGTAAGAGTAACATGGTTGTGAGACCCAAACACTCTACATGGCCTGGAAAAATGCTGACTGGTGAATCTCATAAATGTATGGCCTTTTGTTCTTTCTTTGTTTCCTGTGTCTGGTACAGTTGGTGGAACACAAGGGTTTAATGTTTTATTGCTGCAAATGTAAAATGCTTGCATTTTATATATGAGCAGCAAAGCCATAAATGAACTGTTCAAATCTTCCATAATAGAAACTAACAGCATTTTGTTGTTACCCTCCATTATTCTTTCTGTATTGTTTCCCTTTGCTGTGCTATGTTTCCCATGCAGAGGTGAGCCTTGCTGTGTCACTGGGCTCCTGTTCAGCTAGAAATAGAGAGAAGTCAAAATCTTCAGAGCCTCTGTGTAATCTGTTTGGAGTTAACAGAGTGCACTTGCCAGGGAGTTCCTGTCTAGGATATGGAGAAGAGAGTTATTATGGCAGTGAGACAATCTGATTTAACCTGTAACTATTAAAGCACATATTATAAATACTGGCATAAGTCCAAATTTTGTAGGTTGGACTCTCTCTCATTACTCCTTACAATTTCTGGCATGATTAAAGCTCAGCATACAAGTCAGCATGGTGTCTGAAATGCAGGCACAGATTTATGGTAGCGATCATAACAATTTTTGTTGTTCAATATATACATCTTAAAAGTCAATGTCTGCTATTTTTCCTTCTTCAAATTATGTTGCTGGTAAGAAATGCGTTGTCTTGACTCCTTTCTTTGGAAGACAGCATTTCAGTTAAACTTCAGATAGCCAAATAGACTGGTTGTTGTGTTCTTGAACTGTTATCCTTCACTTGCATCTTGAGAGTAAATTTTTGGGCTGCTGAAGTTAGCAGGAATCCCCTGTTTTGCAATAGCTTATGGCACTCCCTGTTGTTCCCAGCATCTGCCAGATAACGGTGCCTAAAAATACCTCTGTTCACCAGTGAAGGGTGGGGTCACATCTCTTTGTCTTTCAACTCGCTCTTGATCTGTCATCAGAGTTTTGAAGGGTAATGTATGATTCCAGCTAAAGGTGGATGAAGTCTTGCCTGCCCTTTGTTCCGTTATTTATTTAAATGCTTTGAGCACCAGGAATATTTGTACAAGCACACTTTGGATAAGTAGTGCATGCTTTCTCATTCCAGCTAAACCTCCATTTAAATGAAGGGAGAGTGCCTCATGCCCTGGTCTGTAACAGAGACAAGATAAGGCCATTAAGAGAACAGAAGAAGACGTTAGAAACAGAAGGATTTGAAGTGCAGTGTCCATTGTTCAGTTGTATTCAGCCTCTTCTGTTTTGTTTTCATTTTTTGCAGTGTCTGCTATGACAGAGCTCCCTGGTACCCTACGGCTTTAACATTTATCCTGTCGGCCCTGTGGCATGGTATCTATCCTGGATATTATTTTACATTTCTCACTGGAATCCTTATCACACTCGCAGCCAGAGCAGTATGTACCTTTCATATGTACCTTTCATTGTTCTTTTTGAAGGCCTATGCTAGATACTATCCAGCTGTCAAGTGCAGAGACCACATGCACATGGTCAGGGAGCTTGTCCCTGCTGTGAGCCCTCTTTCATGCCTTTGCAGGCCTGATGTTCACTGAAACCTTGTTCTGTATTGATGTTAATTGCCAAGTACCCCCAGCAGTTATAACCAGCACCAATTCTGCATGTGTTTCATGTGACAGCTCCCTGGCTGTCAGAGGAAATGTTGCTTGTGGGTGTACAGTTGGTAGTGCCACTAGCTATGTCCATGCAGTCAACTTAGCTTGGGCTTCAAGGTCATGCTGGAGTACAGACTTCTGCTAAGTCATGTTGCCTCTCTGCTGGCATGTAATCGCTTCTGGGCCCAGTCTTTCATAAGAAGCTGTGAGCATTAGCCCAAACTAGAATTCTTTCATGTGACTGCAAATGATGAAGAAACCTTGTGTCTGTGTTTTTGGGCCCCATCTCGGGTAGAGTCACCAAAGACAGAAGATGTTTCATATCTCCCTGTGGTAAAATTTATCACTGTTGATCAGGCTGAACCAGCCAGTTGTGCAGGGCTGGGAAAGCACCACTGTTGTCTTTCAGAGTTTGACTATGGATAAATAACCAGGTCGATCTGGAAGGTGAATTAAACTAATGATCAGTATTAACCACTATGGCTAGAGCAGGTTGCTGAATATGCAGTCTTAAGATGTATTTTGCCTGTCATTTATGAGTATTACATAGATGTGAAACTAAACCAAAATCTCCAGGGAACAGCACATGCAGATATAAACACTTATTTGCTCATTTAAAGTAACTTTGTTTTACTGTTGATAACCAGTAATAAATGAAAATCAGGAGGGAGGAAGATCAAATCATAATAGCTCCCTTCCCCAAAGATATTGTGCCAGACACCCAGCATGAGAGTCTGCTCCTGTGATTATGACAGAGGAAACTGGAACACTTCCCTGTTTGCCACTGGCTGACTGTGGGATATTGGATATGCCAGTCAATACACTTCTGTGTTCCTACTCTGCACTTCCTAACTAGTGTATAAACTTTTCTATGATACTAATGCTGATGGTAAGTGGAGAGTCATACACTACAGTGTGTGTGTCCATGTGACTTTGCCTAAGAAATTAATTTGTATAATTTTCTGTTTACTTTTCCCTGACCTGCAGATAAGAAACAATTGCAGACATTACTTCCTCTCATCAGTGCCTCTTAAGATAGCCTACGATGTTGCTACCTGGGTTGTCACTCAGCTGGCTGTGTCCTATACTGTTGCACCATTTGTTATGCTGGCTGTTGAGCCCACCATTAAGTTTTACAAGTAAGTTCTCTCCTCTTGACTTTTATTCTCCAGACCGGCATAGACTTTTGTTAAATAACCCAAGTAAACCCACACTGAAAGGCAGTTGGCATTTCATCAGATTTGAAAGGAGCTCAAACAGGATGCTTAATAACATATAAGGGGTGATTTTTGTGCACCTGTAACTTAATGAGATAATAATAATGCCAAGGCAGAGCACTTTGCTTGTACTCTGTCTACCTGTGTCCTTATGTGACTTTTCATATACTCAGTTTCCATTTTCTTAACAGTTGAGTCTCAATCATTAGCAGTGGCCAAGGCTGGAGAGATTAAGAATAATGTGAGCTGGCAGTAGGAAGGACTTGCTGAGCAAAGACCAAGTTTCCAGCTGCTGAATGCGTGCATCAGAGGTGTGATTGATCAGCAGGAGACGTGGAGGATCCCTGGCAGAGCATTACTCTTTGAAATGAGCATGCTTTTCTGTATGAAAGGATGCTTCTTTTCATAGGAAATGAGTACTTCCCCTAGGTCCCTTAAAAATAAGAAAACACTGGTGTTGCAGAGTACTCTAATAATAAACCAAGATGAGATAAAGAAATTGAAAAAAAACAATTAGAAAAGGGTGACTGGACTACATTGCCTTGCTTTTTTTTTTCATTCTACAGTGGACTATCAGCATAGGGTAACAGGTTTTGATTCAGAAGACAGACAATTCCCTCCTCTAACATAAAAGGCACAAAACTGGTAGTCAAGATAGCTGCTGTCAGTAAGACTATCTGGAGGGGATTGAATTTCAACATTTCTATTCCTGTTTTACAAATAATTTTGATTTCAACACAGGAAACTTACGATATAAAAATTACTCCACATCTTTCTTAGTTTCATTTCTTGATACTTTTTTGCCCTGATGACTTTGAACATAATTAACATTTAAACTTACAGACTGTTTAGCCAGGAATTGTATGTGTTTGGACTAGGGCATGAATTTTTGGAGCACTGGGCACCTAGAAATGGTCTTAAACAACTTTCAAGGATGTTAAGACATATGGTAAGAAGCATAAATGAGACCATAGAAAGATGCATTGCTAAGGTTAAGAGCTGGACCATACTGCTCCCAAATGTCATCTTACCCAAGCTGCCAGAGCATCACATATTTGGTTTAAGTGTCTTTTTATTTCTCTTTAATCTTGTGTATACTGAATTATTTGAAAGAAAAATATTTGATGTCTAGTGAGATACCAAATAAAGTTAGCTCTGAGTAGTTACCTTCAAAAACACAGCCCTTCTGTGAACAACATTACCTGACCTTCCCCAATTAAAAGTTGAGTGTTTTGATTTATTTCAGATCTCAGCACTTTGAATGTTTTTCTTTCTGTCATTTTTATTTTTAAGCATGAAGGATATTTCTTCAGAATGTGGCCTTGTGTACTCTAACATTACAAGAGAGATGGGCTGAATAAGTTTGGGGTTGAATTACATGGGTTTATCTGAGCTGTCAGACATTGGGTTCTAGTTTGCTGATTGTTTCCTTGCCTCATTAACCTCCACAGCAAAATTTTCATCCATGCCAGCAGATACCATGTGCATAGGCTGTGTGATATTCAAGGCTGTATTTTTGTGCTTTCTAGGTCAGGTTCATACATTCTGCATTCATCCCTTAGCACTAAATTCTGCAAGGACTTATTGAGGTTTATTTCACAGTTCATGTTATTACCAACAAAAATGACACTCTCTTTCTGCTTTTGTTTTCAGGTCTGTGTATTTTCACATGCACATTCTAAGCATCCTGGTGTTGCTCCTGTTACCAATCAGACCTCAAGCCCACTCCACAAGAAGGGCTCAGAATCAGGCTATGCTGAACTCTGTTAAGAGTAAAGACAAGTGATGCCTCCAAAGAAGATTGCCAACACTGGGAAATTGAACTGTCATGTTGTAAACAAAGAAGAAAAAAAATGGGTGGCAGGAGGGTCAAAGTGCAAGACAAGTGGCATTTCTGTTGCTTATCTTAAAATCTTACTGGAGAGGGCAGAGAAGAGCCTGAATGACTGTATTTCAAATTATTCCAGTTAAACGGAGATTTTACAGGCAACGTTTACAGGCTCATGGGGCATTTTGATTTTTATAATAAATATTTTTATGAAGTGTTTTTATATATTTAAACTTTTTCACAGAGAGGCGTTTTTTCTCTTTTACAGAAATACACAGCTATTAATCAACAAATAATCTTGTGATTAGAGAGAGGGACAGAAAGCAGCTAGTAACGAGTTAGACCAGCTACCTGATAGCCTGGTGCTGTGGGTAGCTGGCAGGGGAAACTTTTCACCTCTTGGCTACAGAGAGAGTTGGTGCAAGTGAAAAACTACAGACATGGGGTTGCTCAAGGTGCTGGTGCTGACTCCTGCCCCAGCAGGGAAGAAGGGGGAGCAGGTCTTTCCCCAGCAATCCCCAGAGCAGGGACTGCAGCCTGAGCTAGGCAGCAAGGGTACTTCACATCCTTCCATGTGATACCTGCTGGTAATGAGGGCAAGACAAGTCCCTTGGGAGTAGGTGTCTGGGAGCACTGATAACTGGCTAAGCCAAAATCTAAAACAAAAAGCAGAAGGAGGAACTCAACCTAGAGTAAAAGAAGGGACGTACACCTTGTGGTCTGTAGAGTTGTGCTTCTCTAATGACACAGCTGGTGCTCATTGCTACATCAGCCTTACTTTGCAGTTTTAGAGTGTTGCAGCTCTTCCTTTTTGGTATCAAAATAAGTGAGGAACAATGCAGGGTTAGTGTTTTAAAGCTTGCAGTTATGGGTTAAATCTGAAAAAGCTTTGTAGTGGATCAGACTCTTCTACTCCAAAACATCCCATCTTATGGAGGGGTTACTTTCCAGCAGATAACACTAATATGAAACCTGAACAGTAATTATTGTAGTTATAATAAATCATTCTCTACAAAACATTGTGTTGTGATATGATCACCACAAGAGTCAAGACTGAGTCCTTGTATGATCTTGACATCTGACTTAACTGCTGATGCAAGTTTCCCTGCTTCTAAAGTCCTTGACTTATCGGGACGTTTTGAGGCTTAATTCCTAAGAGCTCATTGTGCATTGAGATAACCTGCTGGAAAATACTATGTCAGGTTTTTTTATTATATTTTTTCTTAAATTCACTTATCCCAATAAAATAGACTGGTACGACACATCAAAACCAACTAAAACATTTTTTAAAAAAGTCTGTTTTCCAGGAATGTTTTTATCAGGATTTTGTAGAAGCAGTTCATTGTGAAAGTGTTGATGTTGCTTTATGAACATTTAACTGATGTGTGATTGAGCAAAGAATCTGCTGTTTACTGCATTCCAATTTTTGTGTCAGATTAAAATTTTGCAGAATCCTAACATTTTGAGAAGAAAGAAATCAGTGAAACCAAAACAAATTCCAAGAAAAAGTGTGGGTTTGTTGTTTGTTTTTTTTTTTCCTGGTAGGAAGTTTTTTGTCCTGTGACCACCTCATGATTTAAACCATAGTTCATGGGAGAGTTTATTTGGTAATTTATTTTAAAGAGCAAGATGGGATTGAAAGGTTGATCTGAATAAACAATTTGCTTTGTGTCACTGCCTGGCATTATTAATCACAAACGTCTAATGAGAAAATGGGTGAGTGGGTGGGTGAAATCCCTCACGCTTGTGAGGGGAAGATGTTCAGGTCTGCTGGATTTTACAGAGCAACTCAGCTTTACATACTTCTGCTGCTGAAACAGAGACAAGATGACACCCATTTGTTTTCATGGCAACTTTGTCCTTAACTTGGCCAGTTTTTTTTTTGTCCTCATGCATGTGTTCTCCTTGTAACATCAGACTCAGCTGCATCTTGGGCATCTAATACTTCCTTAGAGGTCTGGCTGTGCCAGTCCTGTTTCTTGTGCTAGGGAACCAGGGCATATTCCCAGGGAGGGATGGGGACTTGGGTGCTGCTGGCTGTGGAATCCAGTGGGCTGAAGCCAGCCAGCATTTACCTCCCAGAGACTGGAATGAATAGCTGTGAGCTCTGGTAGAGCCAGCATAATGCTCATCAGCTCTGGGCTTTGGCAAGACTGCAGAAGGCAAATGTTTCCAGCAGGGTGGCTTTAGCACCTGCTTTGGAAAATAAATGCACTCAAAAGGGGGTTGTGGGACGATGCCTGCTACTCTGTGTCCTGAAGTCTGCCTACACAGCCTGTGCCCTGGTCTGCAGCCCTTCCTGAGCTGTATGTTTAAGAGAAGCCAGATAGTATCAGTGGGGTTTCTTTTCTAGTGTTTCACCTAAGTGGAACTTACTTACTTCCAATGCCATCAGCTTGTGTTTTAGTGTCAGTCCCTACAATGTGACTAGTCAGGGCTAGTGAGCAAACTCTTATTTTTCTGTCACGTCTTTGCCTCAACCTCCCCTGAAAACAGGCACCCTGTGTTACAATGAGAACTGGTCATGTGGACTTAATATGATATTACGTGAACTATCATCGAAACTCTTTTTGAGCTATTGCATTTCCAGGGGAACTTGCTGGTTGAATTAGTCTTAAAGCTGGGTGGAAAAAAAAGGAAATGATCTAAAAATCTTTGCTATATCATGTTACTGTGGACTAGGCGGTTTTACCTAGCCCAGTGTGGCAGTCCTGCAAAGCTAACACAGAGTGGATTTAAATAGCTGCAAAATATTCCTTTGAAAAAAGGCTGTTAGCTTCAGGGCTACCTTGATCAATCCATTATAATGAATCTTTCTCTCCTTTTCTTCTTCTCGGGGAGAAAATTTGGTTTTATAGGAAGGCTGCAAACAGCTACCATTATTTAGAAGAGACTCATGCTAGTAATGTGCATCTACTTTGCGCACAAGTATGTAACTCGAAGAGCCAAAGTAGAAATTCAAGTTATATAAGGGTGATATTGGGAATTTGAGTTCTAGTAATTCTAATTCTTCTGTAATTTGAGAATGTGCTTCTGTGATTAAAATACATGATGATGATTACCAACATGTTATTAGTTTCTAATCCCTCTCTGGGTTCTTTGTGCTTGTGCTGGTTTGAAAAGCAAACCGGTGAGAGACTCTGAGTCAGAAGTACAATTTAATATGAACAACACAACAAAACAACACAAATGCAACGGTACAAAAAAAAACCAAAAACCTGACAGAGTCAGAAAGTAACCTGACACCCTGTCAGTCAGGGTGTAGTAGTAGTCCGATGAAATGGTGGCTGCAGTCCTCTTGGAGTGATGGGTTTGTTGGAGCAGTGATCCCGCAGATCAGGTCCAGCAGCAGCTCTTGTCCTCTGGGAATCCAGCAGGCAGAGGGCTCCCTGTGCTGTCCCAAACCCCAGCTTATATCCCTGTGAGCATGTTTGGCTCCCCACCCCTGGGGTGTGTCACCTCACCATGGGACAAGGGATAAGGATCACTGGGAGGATGTGTCCTGCATGGGTCCTTGACAGCCCGTTAATCAGAGACAGCCCCTGAGGGAGCCCTGAGGGAGGGACAAGGTGATAACGATCACTGCCCCACCTGCTTTAACAGCTTGTGGAGATGATAATAGAATGCATACCATGGATACCCCCCACACTGCAACCCAGGACAGTGCTGCAAAAAGCTCAAGAGCTGAAGCTTCTAGAGAGATTCGGAAGACAAAAACCGTCTTGATAGTTTGTAAGAGATATGGCACTATTAGACAGAAATGAGAAAGATTGTACTGCATAGACAAAGTTTGGTCTGAAGTACAAGAATACTAATAAGCCGTCACCACCATGACCCCTTTGGATTGAAGGCATACTAGATACTGTTTTTCAGCACATTTGGCTGCATCAAAACTAAACTGGAAGCTGGGGTGCACTTGGAAGAGAGAACTGAGTGAAGAATAAAACTTCATTTCAACTTTAACTAGGCGTCTGATATTTAAAGAAGCAGCAGCTCAGCAATTTCCTCAGTGAACTGAATGCACAATGTGGATTTTTACTGTCCTGTAAGCTGTCCCACTTCTTAAGTACATTCTTGCATGTCCCCTTGGAGCTTGCTGAGCGATGGAGGCAGCACAAAAGTCGGATACAAGGTGGGCAGATATTTTCCCTCCCGGTTTGGCTGCTCTGTTCTGTGTGCATACATTGCACATAGCTGGAATTGTTGTGTCACTTAAAATGAGGTAGGTGGGTGAGAAGACTCTAGATTTTTACTGTATTGGTAGGTGTTTGCAAAAACCTGCACTTGCTCTCTGCACATGTGAAAACAGGCTCAGCAAAAATAGATCTGGGTCCTTTCATAGAAATATAGGTTGAAATCCCAACACCCAAGGAAGTCTAGGGGTAAGTTTCCTATCAGTGGGGTTAGTGTTTCTGATATTTAAAGCCTTTATCTCTGAACTGAGGACTTCAGAAAAATTATCTACTGGCTGTGGTAGTAAAGGAACTAAATAAAAGCTTGTCCTTAACATTTAAGAGTAGAATCCCTGTGGTCCACCTGTTGTGGACAGAGGAAGAGCATGTGTCTCCTCATCCTTGCCCAAGAGGAAGTGACGTGCATGGTTGAATATGGAAATATCAAATAACCTTTGAGGTACCATTCCCTTTCCTTATGTCACTGAACTGATGTCGTTCAGCTCTCAGGGGCTAGAGGCATTCAAACTACGATACAAAGTGGGAAGTCTCGCCTGACATCTCAGCATGAGCACGAATGCACAGTAGCGCTTTAAAAACGTATTCTTTTGTGTGCCATCAGCCTGCTGCTCCCTTTCTTCCCAGAGATGACAGTAATAATATGCATGAATTGGATTTGCGCTGGTGAGACATGAAGCGCCGCTTTGTTGGGATACGTTTACGAGTGGTGCCCTCTGTGGGCGAGCACTCGAGAGAAGATTCTCGTGTGCTGAGTCGGGGACGCTG